GTGGGGGGAGGGGACAACAAGTTTTTTCGAATAAAGGTGAGTGTTGGCCAGGCACTCCGAAAACTTTTTTTAAGTTGCCCCCCAAGATTTTTGCGGGCCCAGTGGCGTCAGCCACGTCCCCGAAAGAGATTTTTTTACAAGGCTAATTTGAATTTTCATAATTTCATTATCTCAATTAGTTACAAGTTTCAAGTCACTTGCACATTTTTATGACCCATGTAAGTACATTCAAAAACGTAGCGACTCATCCTCGGGGGGGGGGGTAGGGCCTCCCCGCCCCCTAAAGATTGTTTTTCTTAGCAGTTTTATCGAAGCTTTGCTGGGAATTCAGAACTTGCAGCGACATCTTTATGAAAAACTTCTTAGAATTTTTCTTCCTCGTTTCAGCTCTCTTGATTTGATAGTGTGAGCTAGATAATTATAAAATGACAAGCATTCATGGAGCGTTGACTATAGGTAAAAGCAGAAAGTACTCACTATTTGAATGAGAACATAAAGCAAAGAAGGTTGAATCAAAGAATGGAAGAAAATTTCACCTTCACATGAAAGATAAATAATTTACAACTAACTTGAACAGTTCACTCTGTAGTCGTTGTCTCCAAACTTGGTATACCAGTAGTATGGCGTGAGAAACTTTGTGATCTTGAACACATCTATGTATCCGTAACATCTGTCGTGGTGATAGCAGCATCTAAGGAAGAAGTACGTGGCTTTAGTTCAATGCACATGCTTAGATCACTTACTCATCAACTGCGTCTATCGGAGGAGTTTCCGGGTCTCCTCCTAGGCCACAGTGGCATCCATATCCGTTGAAGTTCTAAATAATGACGATTACACAACAATCACTTCGTATGAAAGTGACATCACCATACTCTTCTATGAAGTGCTAAGTCCAATTGTGTAACAGTATCTATAATCAATCACGGTGAGAGCCCCCTTTCCGAAAGCCTGGGGTAAGTTTGCCTTTCGAAAAACAGAATCACCAAGTCAGAGCAGTCTCCCCGCCAAATTTCAACCTCTCCACATAAACCCGAATCGCATTTTGGAGCCCATTAGATCTGAGCAACAACGTCCTCGGAGCCTGATGCTTACCATCATGCGAGGTTTCACAGCGGAAAAGGATTCTACTGAATTGACGGAGATCAAATGACAAACTAGTCTGACATTAAACGATTTAATGACAAGATGTTCCAAAAAATGTTGAATATGGAAGGATTATAGAAGGTCAATATTCAATTTTACAACAATCAATCCTAAATACTGTGCCCATTTTCCTCATTGCAAGAGCCATGAAAAAAGCAATCAATAATTGTTTATTA